TACATATATTATGCTCGAGCTCAACTACACATATTTGATGCTGCAGCGCAAAGAACTTACCTTTTCACACTCGAAAGTTTCATCGGCGACTGTAATTCTGGTAGAGCAGAGCTGCTCAGACACCACAGAGCAATACTGCAGGAAGGCCATAATATACCAATATCAGTTCAATTCGAAACCGAAGTATACGAAATTCAGTCACATTACTGCTAAAATAAAATAATTTAATAAAATTTTGGCACAATTGTCCTCAATTGTCGCATTCCTTATCGAATAGACCAGCTTTAAAGATCAATCAATGTCAATAGAGTGCTTGCATGCAGGAGTTGTATCCATCCTTAGGCGACGAGGAAAACTTAAACTTGGAAATAGGCGTATAACGATCACCTCAAACCTTACAATTTGCCCAACAATCTCATATAAACGCTGCAACCAGCATTTCATATACAATATACCAAACAGACCAACACAGCTCTACAACTTGGACATGATACTTACTCAATATTACACATCGTACGAGCCCTGCAAAACCAGTCATTTAAATTTACAAACATGGCATGAGAGAGCAGACCTATATACACACAACAACAACACCATTAACCCAATGCGTCACACCAGCCTCATTGCAGCTTATATCACACCATCCTACCTCGGCCATGCGTGCAAGCAGTTTAAGATTGTCAGATGTTGTTTGTAACACCTTCGTGACTCGAATCAGCGATCTAACCACGGTTTTGTATGTCTCTGTGGAGTCCACGACAGTAGGTGCTTGTGCGTTGGTAATACCAAACATCCCTGATGATAGCTTGCTTGCCGTTCCTCTAGTCTTCTGGGGGGCTTTGGGGCCCGTTTTCTTAGCCACGGGTGCATTCGGCACCTAAAACGGTTGACACAGGGTTCAGATACGTCAGTGTGCACTAGTGCCAAATAGCCTCGAAGAAGATTAGTATAGACCAGTGAAAAGCTAGTACAGTGTGCTCTTGAACTTGTTGATCTGAAAATCTAACGTATAGTGGTTGCTATGGAAATGATAGTGTATTGGAGCTTACAATACATATGATGGTAAATTAGTATTAATATTAAGCACATACATCACGAATAATTCCACAGGATGTAATGCATTAAATATTTTCGCCCTGAGACAACGTTCGCATAGCTTTTGTTTTGATATATTGATGAGTCAACAAACTCATGTGTACGACGCATCAGTATGTGGAATAAACACGTATTGCCGCGATCACTTGAGTTTTAGCGTAACTACGACACAATACGGATGGCACCTTCCTGGATTTTGGACATGGCCGTGACCGTACAGTACCAACGGCCAATAGTTGTGTGTAAATTGCATACTGCGTGCAACGTCTATTTACAGACTAACAAACCGTTGTGTATGCTGTTATATCGAGATGTAGTGAACTTATACGTTCTAAAAGTACCATACAATGTAGATTGGGTAATAAATAAATCAGAGGAGAGCTGAAGTATTCAGTGTAACCAGATACAGAGCTATATTGCAATGGGGATCTATATAGCTCTACGCATTCCACATGGTACCGAACTCTTGCTGTATACCAAGTGCCCGTAAATAGTTAGGTAACGCTACAGACCGTCCAATTTGTAGACCGCTCATCACTCACCAGAGATAATAGGACCATGTATACGGATATTGCATCATACAAATACGACACAGTGCCTACTGAAAGACCGTCCTCTGACAGTACATCTGGATTAATTCAAACCTATGCCTCACAAAACATAAACCAATGCTCGCGAACTAGACTCCCAAAACCACAGAAGCAACCAGTAATCACGCTATATATATATATATATATATATATATATATATACTTACATACATACAAACATACATACATACACACATACATACATACACACATACATACATACACACATACATACATACACACATACATACATACATACATATACAGATAATGCGGCAATTATGAAACTCGCATCGAATAACCGCAATCATATAGAAATGAGCGTGAAAGCTACACCAAAATGATCGTACTAACTGATCGAACATGTTAAAATTGTTACACACCTGTACGGATCTATTCAGGTCAACTCTCAACGCCGACAGCACATCGTCCGTAAGTATATCGCTGAAATCAGCAGCATCATCCGTTTTATTGATACGCAAAGCGACAGTATATAACTCAGTCATATTTTCAGTGTCTCACATGAACTTTGCCACGTCGAGGTTTTCAACTTAAGACTTGCGATAGACAAACATAAAGTGTGTTACTAGAGTATCCGAATGCTCATAGCGCCCCGTTGTGGTATTTGATACTTTTGTGGAGAAGTGAAACAGACGGCATACTCACATCAGCTATGAGCCTACGTATACTAGTTGGAACCTTCCCTTATTTTAAACTGCAAACACAGTTCAGACACGATTATCCTAACATATCCCTTGAATATCCTGAAACCTATACAATATACTATCAGAAATCGTCTATTTTATCCATCCATCTCATTTTAATTTTTGATCGATTAAAATTTATTTAGATCGGCACAACGATTCTCAGTTGGTAACAAAAGCCGGCACTTTCAATTTGGCGCCCTTTTTATTTAAAAGTAATTTACGACAACTCGTTCAGCTGTTCTGTGCTAAATTTCTCTCCCATTGTTGTTTTTACTTTTTATCCAATTATTTCAATTCTCTGACTCCTGTTTATTTGTCTACACCTGTATTTGTTTGTTTATTATCGTCCCCAGTCCCCTACCCCTGTGTGCACTGGGGCCTGGGCTCAGGGCCCTCAAGGCTCAGGCTGTACCGCTGTACATCAGTGTGATGTTATGTGACCCACTTTAATTCTCCCACCAGTTTCCCCCATCAGGGCCACATGATCTACTACTATTGTGGAATGGGTCGTACGTATACATCAAAAATATGTATAAAGTATCATCCCACAACACATATATTACATACAACACCCTGCAGACCTGAAATGATCTTTTATATCCGCTTGGGGAAGCCTGCGTTTTGCAGTAGGTGCTAGAGTGAATATATTGCAGGCTTTTAGACCTGGTAATGACCTAATCAATGTCTATTACTAGGGGGACAGTTATGTAACATTGTAAACATAAGGAAATTTAATGTGAATGTTGGCGTGTGTTTGAAGGCTTTTCGGAGTGTTTGTCTACCTTGTACGAAAAGACGACATTGACCCTAAATAAATAAAGTGATAACCACAGAAAGTGACGCGCTGTTCTTACCAATTTGAAATCATTCATCCTTTTAGAGCTTTAATTAAACTTGAGCTTCCTTCTAGTATGTCTAGTTTCTTTGTTACTGCTCTCTTTTCTACTAATTCTGCTTGTACTAGATTAAACGTGGATGCAAGACAAGAGTGCAGTATTGAACGTATGATATGCTCATGGCGACTGCCTGTACTTGTTGAGAACACCGTATACATCTTTTTCGATGGTTGTATGGTCTCTACTCGTATCTCGATCCAAACGGGCCAAGTGTACCGTTGTTTACTTGGAGTGTGCAAAGTTGTATATCCTTATTGGCATTTAGAGTTGTATAAATTGCGTCATATATTGCATGTAGAGCTGTCGTATAAATTTGACTGAAATCTCGTTCAGTGTGCTCGTCTCGGACCAACTGTCTGAGAAATCTAGTGTTTCAATACTCGACAGTTAAGCCTGCCATTACAACAATAGCCTGTTGTGGAAGCCGAAGTTGTTACGGATAGAAATCGGTCGTCAGCGTGAATACAGTTAGATATACTGCCATATATATAGTCCTCTAGCCGAATTGTTGACAAGCACGAGTGCGCCTCATCATTCATGTCGTGTGGCTAACAGGAGGGGTAGAGCGACTTGACAACAAATTCCTGGAAGTATAGTAATACCAGGGATCTCAGTTCATATTCCGTCGGGCCTACTAATGATCTCCAAAAAGCTGTAAATATCCTTCCAACACACTACAGTGATATTCAGTTCATTTTTCTTTATTTAGATTCTGTAAGTCGTACTTTCTTAGTACCGAGTGTGGGTGGGAAAGCCATTTGCTCTGTCTTCCCTATATAAACCACGTGAAATCCCACCCTTCTAACCAGAGCAGATGTTGTGCATATAGGCTTAACAATTTCTAGTAAGTCACGTCATTCTGAGCACAAGTTCCGTGTCAGTATTCCATGCTCCAATATTTGATACGAATCGCTCAGACTGTTTTCGTATACTGTTTCTTTCAGTGTTATACTGTTGTAATATAATTTATCTGGTACGTATGTATGCTAATATTGTGCGTGTCCAATGTGATCGCCTGTATCATATCTCTGGCACTCTAAGCCGTTACCTCCGCACCCGCAGCATCCTCCATATAGCTATCCAACTCGGCATCAAGCTGTTCCGAGGTTTTGTTCTCCTTCTTCTCCCTGCCTCCTCCCTTTCCACCTCTGCCGCCACGTGTTCCTTTACCACCACGCCCACGAGCATTCTCTCCTCTGGACGCAGAAGGTGCGCCTCGGGGTGCTGAGCGACACTCAGCCTTTAGATGCCCTACCTTGTTACAGTTGTGGCACGCTTTGGTCGTTGCTTGGTTACCCATGCGATCGTCGTGCCCGTTTCTGTTCAAAGTATGGACAGGGGGTATGTGAGGAAACGTTAGGTGCCTGAAGAGGAAAATATTTAATTGAAACACATAAGCGTTCAAGACATATACACATTCATTAAGCTTAGCAGTTTGTAAGATTCACCTGTCTGCGCATCAACTTAAACAGCGGCCAGGATAAATCAGACATGTACACTCAAAAGACGTTGTATGTGACATGAATACTTACACAGGAGCTCTCTGACGGTTTCCCTGAGGAGTTATTCGGTTTACGACACTAGCTTGACTGTTGGCAGCATCATCGCCGACGATCTCGATGCGCAATGGGCGTCCTATTTGATAGAAAATGGAAAGTAATTGTGATGCCTACATGTATAGATCTCCAATCCAAATAACACTATCTAAGGACCTAGTTATAAATATATATACAACTGGAAATAACCCTTACCGTCTAACTGCAGACCGTTGTACTGTCGCTGGGCCTTAACGGCATCCTCACCACGCACAAAATTGACCTCAGCCGTTCCGATGCATTTGCCTTGGGCGTTGTAGTGGCAGCGTGCGGATCTGAGCTTACCAATTCCACCGAACAACTCCTGCGCGCGTTAGTAGTTGTGTTGTGGTTGGTTGGAGTGCAGGGCCTGGGGTAAGAGCGTATTTATACTGATACGCCGAGATACGCTGTACGTTGATATGGCACCAGAATACGTACCACAATTACACTAGTGCATTGTATAAAGTACAAACAATCCACTGACTGCAACCTTAAAAGTAGGTGCGCAATGTCATTATATCTTGAAATATATACACAAAACGTCCCGCCAGCAACGGAAACTGAAGCCGTATCACAGCGAGCCAACTGATTAATTCCTAAACAGTTTGTCAGTGCATTTACAAACGCACCACGTACAAATAAACTTCACCAAACTATCTTGCGGAGTCTGTGCAACACAACCCAATGCATGTCAATACAAGCAGCGTGCGTAAGAGTGCTGTGAAACCAAACAAAGCCATGTCTTCGCCATCGGAACACATAGCAACAGCATGTGTGGTGAAAGGTCTTACGTGATGGCACATGCTTTGCTGCCATTGCCTCGGACAATCATCACACGCTTCAAGGCTGGCCAAGATACCAAACGTGCGCGTGCGTCTCCCCATTCAGTATGTAATACTAACATACAATGATCCACCGATCCATGAATTCGCTTCCCCGTAAAGTGTACTATGTGTATTCTGGCCTATACAGGCGCCAAATACATTGCCGTCAGCCTAAACGGCGAGAAGCACGTGTTACCACTGCTCACTACCATTGCTGTGCGGCCTGTTGTTCTACAGAAGCTGCATTCGTGCGAATGCGTATACACGTAGCTGCTTCTCATACTAATCTATAAATACTCGCCGGGACTATCTAAATCTAGTCATTATAGCCAAGACGTGCACACGTGCACGCACCGACCAGTGTGCATCATGTGCACCTACTACACAGCTGCAATACAAGCACTACCAAATGCTTGGGGCCTCCCGTGTCTTCGTACACACACCGACGAGTAATCGTCTGGCGCTTTCCGGAGTGCTTCACGAGTGCTCGCATCACCTATGTGAGCAAGCCTCGGGAGCACAGCTATATATAACGCGCCAATACCTATATGCCTAGGATAACACTTTGCGAGCTACTCTGCGGATCAAGGCGCATCTCCTTGTTGCCACAGTACAGCTTCAAAACACTTGGGCTAACTATCTAACATTGCTACCAGGTTCCCTTCTCATCCTGCCATGTCAGCTACCTACTAATCATCATCACTATCTACAACATTGCACGAACAATCACGATGCAGATCAGGTGCAGACGGTCATTCTCGTTGCTCGAGTTCCTGCGGTTCGGACTGAGGAAAGTCGTACCTTCATATCATTGTCTGTTACAATGGAGGGATTGAGGTTAGAAACCATCAACTTGGTTGAAGCAGGCCCTCTCGGCGCGGGCGGGGGCGGTTGGGCAGCACGTTGAGGTCTCTTTAATAAAAAAAAGAAATGATGCGATATAGTCAGTACGAAGCTGGTGCAGCGTATCATATTCAATACATTCTGATTTTATAAATATATATGTGTGTGTGTGTGCACACATAGCAATACGCAGAAATTGTGGCCCACGGGTGACGGACTAACGTGTCTTCGAGACCAGTCGGCAGTCAGTGAGTCAGAGTGTCGACATTAGATTACTCAACAGTCGACACTTGGGCCCGCTTTGTGAAGAGAATAACAATTTGTCCGCCATAAATTGACAAGTACGCACACCAACGCAGAAAAACTACATCTCAAAATGCTGGGGAGGCTTAGCAAAGTGATACAAGAAATGAGAGCTACGTTAACAAAAATAATGTAAAACTGGAACAGTTTCTATAATCCAAACATATACCTAGGTTTGATCGAGGTAGAATCTCTGTATTGGTTGAAGAGACACTGATCAGTGCTCATGAAGCCACCTCATCACAAGCGAACAAAGTTGTACTAGTAAAGCATTCCATATTGCACACTGAAAACATATCAGCTTACAGCTTTAAGGAGTATACAAGACTAGTGCAAAAGAAATACTACAGACATATAGTATAAGGGCCACATAACACTGCGTGACACACATACGTACTGGCCACATACAAGAGATACTAGAACACGTATGTACTTCTAACACAAATAAATACTAAAAAACTGTAATACTACCAGCAGTACACATATATACTTACAGCGTAAGGGGCGGCAGGTCTGGCATTGCGTCCACGGCGAGCAGCACCGCCAGCACTGGCACCAGAAGCACCACCGCGTGTAGCAGCCTGTTTAGCCTTACGCTCAGCGATCTTGCTTTGGCGGTCGGTCTTGACGATATCGTCCAGGGGCATGTCAAGCTTATCAGTCATGATGAAGTATATGTGTGTATGGAAAGTGGAAGATAGGATTGGTGAGCTACTGTGTCGTAGTGTGAATCTGGTATGGTCACAATCGTACGCGTTGGATATGATGTCAATAATTTATTTTTATGTGGGAGGGGTTGCTTGGAGCCACATATTGCTGGAAAATACATAGGGTATTTGGGAGGGCCGACGGGAACATATTTCAATTTCTTTGTTTTTGTTTCTGTTTTGGCGTTTTCATACACCGATTTTCCACGACAACTCTTCAACGTCGAGTTGCACAAATGTTCTATTTAAAAATACTATGCGCGTGCAGCGGGCAGCCGGACTCTGCACTCCCCTGGGCCACGGGTATAAAGTATCTTTTGACCTGCATAAACGGTTTGTTGTATTAATTCAAAAATACAGGAACTACTTATTTACGTTAAGCCTTTATAATAACGGAATGAGATAGGAGTAAAGGCGGTGCCGGACTACCCGCCGCGCCGGGTGTAGTTTTACTTTTATAAATAGCAGAAGCAGTTGGAACTTGGAACATGGACTAGTTCGAAAATTTCACTGGAGAGAGTAAGATCCTTAACATTGGCCAATGTGAAATCGAAATATATATAACATCCAGTGTATTTCATTAGGTTTGTAAGTGATTTTAAAATGCATTCCAATGGATAGCCCTATGTAAAAATATTTATACAAATTACCTACCTGCATCGAGATCTTATACATTTTTACAGGAATAATAAGCAAATACGATTTTTTTATAACTTTATGTATACTTTTTTTTTTAAATTCTTTTTTTACAAATACATTTGACTATTTTCACAGGGGGTTTTCTTGCTTGAACAACATAAAATTAAAATAAATACAAGGCCTCTATATATCTACTCTGTCGTTCAGATATCAGCATGTATTCGACTATTCGTAGGGAGGGCGGATCAAAGGCACCACAGGCCCAAAGCCTAAATATGTAGCCCAAAGCCAAAGGACGACGAGAATGAATATTTCAGGACAGACAAACTTTTTTCAAAGAGACTGGACATCGCATCCAAATTCCAGGCCCAGTCTCCAGGGCTAAATACAGGCCTTTCTAGCTAGTAGTAGGCCACGGGGCCCCCGCCTCCAGGCCTTATAGGCCCAAGGCCCCAGATTTCAGGTCTCATTTTTAGCTAACTAAATATCTTAGACAGATAAACTTTCATAACGTACATACATACATATACTAATATATACATAAAACATATATAAATATATGTATATATACATATATAATATATACACATAAAACAAAATACAAAACATATATAAATATATGTATATAAACAGATATAAATATATGTACATATACATATATAGTATATACACATAAAACAAAATACATATACATATACATATACACACATATATATATATATAGACATACACATGTATTATATATATAGATACATATATTAATATATATACACAAATACATGTATACTTATATACAAGTATACTTATATTCATACACATATATATACATGATATATATATATATATATTTATATATATAAATATAAATAT